GCTGAAGCAAGTTTTTTTTAAAGCTTGACACTGGTCCTACATTTTCTGATTTGCATCTAAAATCAGTTCCCTTTTTATGGGGCTTTCTCTGTTCAGTCAAATATAATTTGGAATCCAATGAAAACTGATAGGTAAATACAGACTGGCTGATTTGGAAAAAGAAAGGAATAATTGATCATTTATTAGTCAGGTGCCCTTTGATCTTTTTTAAAGGGCCAGGACATTACTCTGATTTGGACTTTTTTTCCCCAAATCAGAATAGCCACATAGAGAATTCATTGATAAGGAACATCACAAAAATACACAAAATATTGCTCTTCCCCTTAACAACAAGATGCAGAAAACAGATATTAATTCAATACTGACATATTAGTCTCTCCTCTACCTCAACTACCCAGTTACAAACTTTTCATTATCTTTTATTATATTACAATAGAAATATATAATATATGAGGGCTAATGACATTTATGCATTATTGTTAGTAATTATGCTTATTTATCATTTGTACTGAAACTGCACCTAGGAGACAGATTTGACAGCCAAATTTTTAGATCAGGTCTGTCATTTTTAAAGAGCTATTTTTTTAATTAACTCCCCACACTCTCCATCTTGAGTATAAGTATCCTCTGACCATGAGCCTTCTGTTCCATCATTGACTTTAAGATTTTAAGGTATCAGGGATTCCTCTAGCTTTAGAGATCACTGCTGTGTGACACTAGGCACTCTGCAACTCTTAACTATAGCACTAATTTAAGGAGCTGGTATAATGTCATGAAGATCTGTCCTCTAGATCCAGAGCAGGACTAAAAGACATCCTAAAAATAGAGACTGACCAGTTCAAATATTATACTTAATCTGATGCATTCTGGGATAGGACTCTGAGAATTTAGGTGCTGAGATTTTAAGCAACTTTAATGGACTGAAATACAAATAGAGATAACAGGCATGGCGGGATTCATACACAGCACAGTGGTTACAGTGTATATTTCTAAAGCTACCAGGTTAGATTAAGAAACTTTGAAATTTCACATTCTTTCATCAGACTTGCATCCTGCTATCAGAATGGATTCTGATAAGATTTAAAAGCAGAGCTGTAGCTCAGCTTTCATGTACAATTAAAGTGGCTCACTAACCCAGTGTGTAATGATTGAAAATGCAACACTACTTTCACATTTGCAATTTAAGGGGGGGTGGTCCCTGCCTATAAGAAATTGGTACAATTTGTGTTCTCCAATACACTGGGAAACTTTTTGCTTCTAGTTGGCTTTGTACCTTCCAGTCAAAGAAACTGATATACTACTACTGGTACTTAAACTTCATGACAATTTGGTTGAACTACTATCTAAAGCATGAAACATTTCTCCTTCAAATTGCAAACTATGCATACCAGTTTTGCTGCTATTCAGAAAGTTTAGATCAGAACTATCACCAAAAGCAGCAGAACCAATGTTTTATTGAATTATACTAAAGCTCCCTCACCATGGTTACTCAAAGGTCTAATTCCCATTGTAAGTCAATAAGACTTACGCATTCTTGAGAATCCCTAAATTGTCTACATAATAATTCTTCCCCTTTGACTTATGTGCATTTTTACTTTTAACAAGCACAGATTATGACATCAAACAATCTTCTAATAGGTGTGATGCCAAACATCTGACAATAAGAGGAAGGAATACTCTGTGTAACAGAGTAGTCTGGTCAGGATATATAACAGCTTGAGACAGATGAAGTAGGAAAAATCTGAATAAATAGATTTATTTCTTAAGTGAACGTAAGTGGAATATGATACTGTTTGGTACCAGAAGAATATAGGGGAGTTGATTTTGTAGACAGCTTTGGTAATTGTGTTTTGCATATACAGTACTTTAAGACAGACCACTAGCTAGTGTAAATTGCTACAGGCCCACAGTGGACCCCAGAATAACTTTCATAATCGGAGGATCTATTCTAATAAATAAGATCAGATTCTTAGAAGAGGTCACCTGTGTTAGACTTGCCACTGGACTGATAAAGTACTTGATAATGTAATTGATAGATAGATCATCATAGAGCCACTGGTACTCCCTATCCCTTGGTAGACAAAAGCCTAAGCGACTGAATGACCACAACTGGAATCACCACCAAAATTTTCACTCTGTACCGCAACCAGGTGACATTCGTTGCTGCTCTTGATTTGGTTGGTGGACTTAGAGAACTTTCCACACCAGCACAGAAGGCTATAGACAGTAAGGCTGCACAAAGCTTTGGTCCCTGATTAGATTTGGCAGAGTTTTGGCCTGATTTAGTGGCCAAATCTCCGAATCTGAATTGAATCAGCGGACCCTTTAATCCCTCCAAATCTAATTGGAACCCTCCGAATCGATCAGAGAGATTCGGAATGATTTGGTGATTTGGACATAGACACAGCTTTAAATATTTTACCTACATACCTCTAGGTAGCAGGCAACTCGTCAACACTGCAATGCTGGGGCAGATGTGAGCGCGGGGGTCTCCCCAGCGCACTCGGTAGCAAACCCAGAAATGGACCAGAAGCACTTCCAGTCCACTTCCAGATCCGCCGGGGAGCACACAGGGTGCCCCCCCCCACGCCCCCAACTTGGCAACCGGTGCCTCCTGGGTCTGGGAGGGCACCTGGGGTCCCCCCACAGCCAATTGTCAAGCCGGGGGGGGGGGGGGAGCGCGGGGACGCACACACACAGGGAGCGCCGCCCAGCATGCTTCCCAGCAGACCCAGAAGTACTTCTGGTCCACTTCTGGGTTTGCCACCAAGCATGCAGGGGGGCCCCCCTGCGCTCCTGTGAGACGCTCCATCCACCCCAGCATTGCAGCGTTCACAAGCTGCGCTGGTACCTTGAGGTATGTAGAAAAAACATTTAAAACTGTCTATGTACGAACCACTGATTCTCTGAATCAGCATCAAATCTTCAGATTCAGCCAAATCAAAATCAGGGGCAGTGATCTGAATCACCTAATCGAATCACTGTCCCCGATTTGGGCCAAATCCAAATCTGAATCCAATTTCACACACCCCTGATAGACAGAGGTTAAAAATGAAACAGATCAATCTGTGGCTAGCTAAATCTGGAACTGATTTCATATTAGCTCTACATCCAGTGCTTAGGTTTAGAGCAACTTGAAAGTTACAACAGGATGTGGAATCAGACCTGATGCACCAGCTATAGAAAAATACGAAACAATACTGCACACTGTGCTAACAAAAGCGCTGACTTCTCAGTGTACCTATTTCACTATAATCTGATGTTTTAGTATAATAATGTAAACTATGCATGTACCAGAAAATTATAAGCCAAGTATGGCCCACCCTTGCTCCCCTTTAAATCAAAGATAAAACAGTCACTGCATTCAACAGGTGTGATGCTATACAAACAGCACAGGGCAAGTTGGTTTAAATGAACTTAAAAAAAAAAGACTTAATTAGTTTTAGCAGCCCTGTATAACATGGAAAGGTATATGGGATTGACTAACACTAGGTCACTGTTAAAAATGGAAAGGTTTTTGCCCAAGAGTGGTCATGGACAGATCCAGAATCTAGCAGCAAAGGGGATAAGGTCACACCCTCTTTGACTGTGTGACACATGTTCAGTAAAGAATGCTCACTGCACATGTACCACATAAGGTATGGCTACACCATGAGGTA